CGAGATCCACCACCCGGACGTCTCCAGCCTGGTCACCGGGCTGCGGCCGGCGGCGGACCGCAGCAGCTTCAGTGGTGAGAGCCGGCCTCTGACGGGGCGCCCTGGCGGAGCTCCTCTGCAGCCCCTGGTTCCCAGGCCCTCGGGGTGGGCTCACTTGCCTGCTGCAGGTGCAAATGGGCCCCACTTCCTCCTGGCAGAGGCTCTGAACCTGCCACACCCCTGCCCACACCACATCAGGGTGGGGGAGAGAAGGAGCCCGTTTCCAGAGCAAAAGTCTGTCCCCAAGCAGCCCACAGCATGAAGCGGCACCGCGCACACGCGTGTGGAGAGGCCTGCTCCTGGGGGGGCCGCGGGGGCGTGCGTCTGCTCAGGTGGAGCTGGTCTTTCCCTCGCTGGCCATTTGCTGGGGCCCCTGGAGCCTCCCCGTCCCTGGGTCCCGGCCGGGGCACCCAGCGGGGCAGGCGGGCATGGCAGAGACTCCTGCTGGGGGCGGGGACACTGAGGCGGTGCCCACCGCCTCACAGGGAGCCTCTGAGCCCTTGTCCACTGCCTGAGTAAAAGTCCGCTCCTGCTTGGTGGGAGATAAGGCCATTTGGGTTAGTTTTTTAATTTTTGGTTTCCTTGGAGGAGCCATTGAGTTTTAGGTGTTCAGAGGACAGTGGGACTCACAGAATTCAGAGCCGTGGATCTAAATCCTTTTGTTTCCTAGATTTGGCTTTGTGGGTGAGAGTTAGAAGCTCTGTTCAGTTACACAGTGGATGCAGGTGTACAGAAGTCCCGCACAGTAGACAGTGAGTGCAGGTGTGAGGAGGTCCTGCACAGTGGGCGCAGGTGCGCGGAGGAGGGGCCGCGCGGTGGACGGTGGATGCAGGTGTGCAGAGGCCCCTGGGTGGTGTGAGTGTTTTGTGCTCAACCACTAGCTGGAAGGGTAGTTTGAACCCACTTACTGATGCTGTGGAAGGAGGCCTGGTGGCCTGCTGTGGGATTACAGCCAAGGAGTCCCGTGGGTCAGTGTGCTCAGTGCGTGGGCCCCGGCACATGAGTCGGGATCAGCCCAGTGGCAGCGGGTTGTTTTTGTGTGTGTTTTTTGTTTGTTTGTTTGTAGAGTTAATTCGATCCCACTTTGTTCTTTATTATGGGTTTCTTAGGGTAGCGATGATACGATGATACGAGTTAGCACCAAGCGTGGCTCGGCCAGTGGGAGCTGGGTCTGAATAACCAGGCGTGTGGGGAGGTCACCCTGAGCGTGAACTTTTCCTGCAGGGAGTGCCACTTCCTACTGAAGGGGCAGGTGACAAATGCTGGTCTTACTGAGGTGGGGGTCCTGCTGGAGAGTCAGGCCTTCCTCCAAAGGCCCTGGAAGGATCGCGTGTGGCCTGGGCCCACCCCTTCCCGCTGTCCCTGCAGGGCTCATGGAGACGTCCAAGCTGACCGAGAGCCTGGCCGGCGCCGTCGGCAGCCTGCAGGAGGAGCTGAGCCAGGAGCCGCGGCAGAAGGCGGCGTTGCGGGAGCAGTGCCGGCGGCTGCAGGAGCGCCTGGGCCTGGCTGAGGCCCGAGCGGGGAGCCTGAGCACGCTGGAGGCCGACCAGAGCCGCATGAGGCGGGAGGTCAGCGCCCACTTCCGTGAGGTGTTGAAGCTGAAGGACGAGATGCTGACCCTCCCCCTGCGCTGCAGCAGCGCCCTGCGCGACTAGGAGCAGCCGCCACTCG